CCTTTCCTTCTTTCTTTCCTCCTTTCCTTCTTTCTTTCTGGGAAATCTCCTCCCAAGAAAAAGAGGAAGAGGAGGAAGCCAAGCCTCAGTCCCCCTTTCCTCCAAAACTGGAGCTCCTTTCCTTTCTCTTCTTCCAGGAAGATGATCCAAAGCAGGAGAGACCTTCACATGAATTCCAACTCACCCCAATTGGTGCCTCCTCCAAGGCAAGGGATTGCAGAACTCCTCTCTCTTTTGCAACAGGAAGAAGTTTTGAACCAACACATGGGCGCCTAGCAGAGCAGTCTCACAAGCCCCGCCCACACGGCCTCCCAGCCAATGGGAGAGATGTCATGCTAATAAAGGATGCTCCATTCAAAACAAAAAGGCGGAAATGCAGGGCAAAGGCGAGCAAACGGCCATTTCCGGTGTCTGGGGGAAAGGGGAATCCCCTGAAATAGTTTCCTCTTTGTATTGTCGAAGGCTTTCATGGCCGGAATCACTCAGTTCTTGTGGGTTTTTTCGGGCTATATGGCCATGTTCTAGAGGCATTTCTCCTGACGTTTCGCCTGCATCTATGGCAAGCTTCCTCAGAGGTCTGCTGGAGCTGGGAAAAAGGGGTTTATATATCTGTGGAATGACCAGGGTGAGACAAAAGGCTTTTGTAAGTTGGGCTAGGTGTGAATCTTTTCAACTGACCACCTTGATTAGCATACAATGGGCTGACAGTGCCTGGAGCAAACTCTTCTTGAAAGGTGATTAGATGTCCCTGCCTGTTTTTCTCTCTGCTGTTTTAATTTTAGAATTTTTTAATACTGGTAGCCAGATTTTGTTCATTTTCATGGTTTCTTCCTTTCTGTTGAAATTGTCCACATGCCATGAAATTGTCCAGAAGCCATTGAAATCCACAAACATGTGGACAATGAAGTTTAGACTTATTATTAATGCTCAGCAATAAACAGGATTGCAAGTTTGGGGCAAATAGGAGGACAACAGAAACTCCTGCCCTTTTTAAATTGGCATTCCCTCCTTCTTTCCAGTTTTTAGCTATTAACAATTTACAGATTGGCAATTAATTCCTTTAGCTTTTGATATTTTAACTTTATCCATCAATGATAGCAGTGCCATTTCCAGCGTTGCAGTTATCTCTATTTGGGTGATTCTTATTTCTTGAAATACATTTTTCCAAAATTTTTGAACATATTTACAAGACCTCCATATGTGCATATATGTACCAGTTTCTTGACAGCCCCTCCAGCACTGCTTAGAGCAGGGGTCATCAAACTAAGGCCCGAGGGCCAAAGATGGCCTCACTCAGGGTCAACTTAAGTCTGAAACTACTTGAAAGCACACAACAATCCTATCTCATCAGCCAAAAAGCAGGCCCACACTTCCCATTGAAACACTAATATTTATAATATTAACGTAATAATATATTTATATTTGTTAATATTTAGATGTTTATATTTGTTATATTTGCAAGTGTGGAGAAGAGCAAACCACAGACCATCCGCTGCAATGCAACCTGAGCCCTGCCACATGCACGATGGAGAACCTTCTTATTGTAACACCAGATGCACTCCAAGTGACCAGCTACTAGTCAAAGGACATTTAATCATCTACCAAGCTTGCAAACTTTGTGGTTTGTTTGTTAAAATATGCAATACAACTGTTTAGTTTGCTCCTGACATAATAATAATAATAATAATAATAATAATAATAATAATAATAATAGCTTATTTGTACCCCGCTACCATCTCCCC